CAGGAGATTCTTATAACCCTTATGCACCCCTTATGCCCTCTGCCAGTAGGCATCAAGAGGTCCTTGGGTCACAGCCACTACATATAAAAATCCTGCATACCATTCTCCAAGTACAAACTGCTCATACTCATTCAGTTACTTCACATCACACGACAAGCAGTTTCCCTAGGATAAATCACTTTCATTAACATATATATACACACACAAAAACCATACCTACTCAATTCTTCTTCCCTACCATGCACACCAACACATACTCATTAAACTTCCAAAATATTGACATTTACCTGTATCTATTCTGATCCAGACTACTGTTCGTTTATTGTATTACAGTAGTACCTTCTGGGCCACTGTGCTAAGGGCTATACCACTTAGTAGTGAAGAGATTGTTCCTGCCCTGAAACGCTTACAGTCTTGACAAGGTGAAAAGATGAATGAAACAAACAGGTGGAGGAAGGTGTGGGAGGACAAGATAACAGAAACTATGAGAAATAGTAAGTGGTGTGTACAATGATTTGACATTCTCTCATCTAGTCACCAGGGAGTTCATGCAGTCAAACTCACACTCCCCTTTCACAACACTTTAACACCAATACCCACATAGAGATTATCCTGCCATTCTGCATGATCTTGAATCTATGGGACAGGTTCTCTGTTCATGTATACCAAGGTAAATCAGGCAGGGGTGCTGGAACAAGTGGGGAGCTGAAAGCCACTAAACCAAATGGTAAATTCTGTATATGATGGAAACTACTTCAAGCCAGGGAGTGTGGCAGCACCTGCAGCACTCCTAGTTCCAGCACCTATGAAATCAGGAGTAACTGTGAACTTAATAGTTGCATTGGTATAAAACTGTAAGCGACAGGAGAATCAGGCAGATGGGCTCCATATTGACTACCATGTTTAGCTTGTCTATACACGTTAAACGCCAAATCCTTTCTCCAATTTGTTGTAAGGGATTAGGGCTTGACTGGCAAATCACTTTCAAACCACATCACTACTGAACAGAATTTCAGTGACTCTTAAAATGCAGAAGTCAGTGAGCTGATATGAAGGGGCAGAACTGGCAGCTTCTTAAAAAAAAAGTCAATGTGATAGCTCCATATCGCTAGCCTTCTGCCTCTTCACCTGAGGATTCCTTCAGGCTTAAAACAGTCTATAGTATAAATGTTTTTTAATGTACTATTTAAATGAAGGATTGGATGGTTCAGATAATTAACAGTGGAACATAGGCCTTTGTGCCATTAGGTCACTGGTTTAAAAACTGCCTGGGTCAAAAGTTATTGAATTTTTACCAGCTGAAATTATCCCTCAGGAAACCACATGAGTCTATATGACTGCAGGATTTCTTGCACCTTCCTCTGAAGTGTCTGCTGCTGGCCACTGTCAGAGATGGGACACTGCTGTAGATGGACCCATGAGTTTGATCCAATATGGCAATTTCTATCATCTGTCCATTTCCTACAAGACTGCTGTCTATTTTAGTCAAACTACCGTCCAAACGGGCTCTGAATTCCAGGAGGACTGTTAAAAGTAATGTAAGGGTTTCTAATTAGCAGCCATAGACTGAAAGGTCTGATTGCTCACACTGGACTCCTCTCATCCCTCTAGTGGTCCAGGTTGAGGGACCTAAAGGCAGGGCACCGAGGGGAAGTTTTGTATTGCTGTCTGTGGTGAATGATACCTTAATTCACTCTCAAACAATTTAAAATGAGACGAAACACAACCACCCTGTTCAATATTGCAGACTTTGCCAGGCTTTACGTGACAAAAGGCAAGATTCTACTGCCATTTTTCATCTTCCCTGAATATGGCTGGGCTGCTGAGATTCAATCCTCTAACTCTGAGGGTCCCTGGTTCAATCTGTGGTGTGAGCCAAGATGGCAGTCAGCATTAGTGGTGTCTTGTCTGGGATTCACACTGCTGTGAGCCTCAAATGGTCAGGACAAGATTAAATACTACTTCTGGACTGAGCAATGTAGTACACTAGTCACTTTGCATTATGTCCCATTCTGTGCCCGATCCACAGAAGATGTGAGAGTTGTAACAGACACACATCCTCAGTGAATGAGGCACAGAAGAGGACATGTAACAGAGTGACCAGTGGGTTACACTTGTTAACCTTTCATGAATGTAGCTGGGCTTAATTTTCCAGTGATATTCTACAAATCACATGACAAAGAGGACTTGTTTGCGCCAATCTAGTTAATGAAAAGCCATTTTTTACTATTTTACCCTCCTTTGTAACGTACATTTGCATTTAGGAAAATGTGAAATTTTAATTGAACAAACTCATTATTTGACTGTTTCCTCACCTCTTGAATTGAGCCTCTCACTTGTTCATGCCTTGGTGATGCATGCCATCTTTGTCTTCGCATTGCAAAGGAGTGTGCAGATATCATGCAATGGCAAAATGGAAATGAAGGGCCTGATTGTGCCTGGCTATAGCACAGCCACACAGGAGAATAAGCTCCCTCGTTCCTCTAGGCAGCCTTGCTGCACCTCACTTCCAGGCATGATGGGTGGAGAGTGGGCTGTGCATGGCATCTGCAAGACAGTGGAGAGTGGACAAGTGGAGCCTTGATTCTGGCTTTCTAACATGCTGGCCAAGCATCTGGGATTCCAAGGTAAAGGAACTGCATACATTCCTCTTCCCCTGGAGCAAGGGGTGCAGAAGAGGGAGAGGAGAGGAAACAGAGAAGAGACTGTGATTCTCTGAGACATAATTTCTTCCCTGGGATTCTCCTTTGCCTTTGTTTCATGCCTCAGATAATAGACATTTTTAATAAACACTATTCCTTGTACACTCAAGCTAGTGGAAACCGGGGTAGCTCTGTTTGACTTCAGTGGAGCTACATTGGTTTACACCAGCAGAGGATCAAGCCTGTTCTTAAAGCATTTGGAGAGTATAGGAAATTTCTTTTCATTCATAGCCTATGCCTCTTATGTAGTGTACTTCCTGATGTCATCCTTTAATACAATCAATAGCAGCTATGCCTAGGAGAGAGAGCGGGACCATTACTTGATATTGATGCATTAGCTGATCACATTTGATGGACAAGGATAAAAGACTGCTTATTGTAAAAACAGATGTGAGTTTAGTTTCCTGAATGTAAATTCCTGGTAGATATCAGTCGATTTGTTAACCACTGAAGAACTTTCTTTAGTTTTACATGACTGGCAGTCTCTACTCAGGACAGGCCCAGGAGTGGAATAGTAGGTACAGTATAGAACAGGGGTCGGCAACCTTTCAGAAGTGGTGTGCCGAGTCTTCATTTATTCACTCTAATTTAAGGTTTTGTGTGCCAGTCATACATTTTAACGTTTTTAGAAGGTCTCTTTCTATAAGTCTATAATATATAACTAAACTATTGTTGTATGTAAAGTAAATAAAGTTTTTAAAATGTTTAAGAAGCTTCATTTAAAATTAAATTAAAATGCAGAGCACCCCGGACCGGTGGCCAGGACCCGGGCAGTGCGAGTGTCACTGAAAATCAGCTTGAGTGCCGTAGCAGGTTATGGCTGAGTGAGAAGAAGCTTACACACAGCTTTCTGTCAGCCTGTCAATATTAGAAAAATTTATTCACCCAAATATTTTTAATGGAAAACAAAACTTAGCCAAACAGGATTTTAAGCTGGTCTTAAAACGTCAGTGAAGTAGAGTTTCCAATAATGGAATACAACTTCCATAAGCATTGTGTTCGGGGGAAATATCTTTGACGCTAAGGACATCAAATGAAATGATGAAGGTTAATGACTGTTTTACAAAGCATACGTATCACATGTAATATTAGCAGACATGTTGACTTGCTCTTCTTAAATTAAAAAATTACCTGAAGAAAGCATCTACTCAGATTCACAAACACAACCCTCCAAACCATTTTTTCCCTTTTCTGAATAAGTAGTTTGTTCCTCAAATATACTTTTCCTAGAACCGTTACACAAACCTGCTCCAGCACGCATTCATACTCTACTAAGTAAAATGCCACTAGTCAGTTTTTTCAAACTTATCAAAACTTGATAGATAAAAAATGCTCAGGGCAATGAAAACTCTTATAAAGTGGAACAAATGCACAATCCTATAATTAGCATGTACTAAGATGCCCATGCAACCAGGTGTGATATGGACTAGAGAGATCCATGACACACCAGACTGGTCACAATTAATCAAAACAGAGCCTGTTAGACTACAACTAATCATTTTCAGCTCAATCAAAGGTCATTGCTTTTGCTACAATTAGATAGCATTAATCTTACACACATAACAAGATAACAAAGCATGAAAACTTCATCAGTAGCAACAATTTCCAATTAGCAAGACCAATATTAAATATTACAAATTAAAATCCTCATTTAAAAGTGTCAGTGAACCAACACTGTCAATAAATTAACTCACTACCTAGAGCTCTATAAGTAAATCAAGAAGCCTCATATACTTTCCTTGTCTCTCTTGCTTTTCCTCTATGACTGGGGTCACCCTAGCACCTTGTCTGGGAAAAGTATTAGGACATGAGATGTATTTTCCCTTTCCTGCCTTATATCTAGCACCAGTACCATCCTGCTGTAAGCCTTGTTTGCTGGTGTGATTGCAGGGAGATTGTGTAGGCAAACTTTTCTAGTGGAAGCATAAAGGCGTGTGTCACTTAGAGAGGGAAAATTCTGCAAGTCTACAAAGGAAAGTTGTCCCTTATATTACCAAGAGCTGACTTGTGATCAGAGAATAAGTCGTGAATGTTCTTCATGTAGAGTGCTAGGAACCCCACATCTATCACAGAATAGGAGGAGACCAAATTCATTTCTATTTGTGACATCCAGGTCTCCCAAAGTAAAAGACTAAATCCCAAGCCCGTTAGTGCACTAACCCAGCCTCTCAAAAGCTGCAAAATATCAAATGAATGATAAATCTCTGAAGTTTCTATGCCTGAGGTCTAGTCCTGTTTTGTAACCAGACTGGAGATTTTCAGACTTTTCGCAGCCACCAGCACAAATCAATAAATCACCTGATGGAGCTCTGCAATGGCCTCAGTGCTTTGGCAGTCATCCTCTTCTTCCAGATCATACAGTGTCTGTCTCTGCTTCTCTAACATTTCATGGCAGGCCTAAGATTAATAGAAATAAAATAGGAAAGAAACCTTGTAAAAATATATCTTTTAAATAGCTGAAACCATTGTCAGCATGAAAGCTACTGACTGACAAATAAATCAAGGGTGCTTTTTTGGCAGCATCAGGGATCTAAGTACTGTAAAAGTTAGTAGGGAAAAACCGCATACTGTCCTAGCTGAGTGGTAGGAGAAATCACAGATATGACTGAAATAATACTGGCTATGTACTCACAAAGGGGCATTATGAAGATCACACAGGCAACCTTAATTTGTGCATCTCCTAAGTCCCAACCATAACATTATTTTAACAATTTTTATATGGAATAATATTCACAGTGCAGGAAAAGGGTTAATGATAATTAGTATCTTACATTGTTTGCCTGCATACAGATAAAGCACTTTGCTGTACAAGCTATGGCCCAATCCTGAACCTACTGAAGTCAATGGGAGACAGATCTCTTAATTGGACTGCATTATATGATACATGCCTCTTTTGGGGCAGGTTTCCCTTCCAGCTCTGGGTCTCTCTGCACTGGATTGACAGACAGTGTTCTGGAGGACAGGCACCATCAGCCAGCAGCCCTGGGGTCCTGATCCCTTCTCCAGTCCTCTTCCCTCCAGGGAGCACAGAGAGGCCAGAGAAGTGGGGAGCTGCCCAAGATCAAAAAGGAGACTTCAGATGGGGGTAGGGTGTGGAGGGAGTGGAGAGTGGAGCCAATATCATTTTCACAAGAGCAGATGAGGAAGCAGAGCTGGCTATGAGCTGCTGCACTTTCTGATCTCCCTCTGTGTCCCTCTTGCAAACATGGTGTCAGCTCCGCTTTCTTATCCCTCCCTGCTGCCCACTGGGCAGGTCCCCCTTTCTCTGATCCCTGGGGAGTGGGGGGGGCGACAAAAGATGAAGGGGCCCAAAGCTGGAGCAGAAGGTGCAGCTGAGAGTCCCTGGTCCTACAGAGGGCAGAGGCATGCAGTAGCAAGGTAGGGAGGGCCCAGCCAGCAGTGACTGGGGGGGCGGGCGGCAGCAATGCAGGGGTGTGTGTGTGTGGGCTGCAGTAATTAAATTTTGGGGTCCAAATGGCCAAGATGTGAAATACCTGGGTTTAAGGATGTTCTTACTGTGTGAATCAAATGAACTATCTTCACAATCTGCAATAGCCCTCTTCCTCCTGCCCGCTCCCCCAACCACATAGCAAAGCTGGTTTATTTCATTCACTCAGCAAGAACCTCCTGAAAACTAGGGACTAGGTTTTATACCTAAATACCTTTTATGATCTGCAAATCATGGTATAACATAAAACAAAACCCAGGGCAGCACATATTTCAATCATATGTCACTTGTTGGCCAGTCTAGAGGCGGGAGAGGGATGAGGGAACTCTTTCACTCACTTAATTAGGAGCAGCCAACCTCTAAGGATTTCTGAGACCACATCAACTATGTAACCATAGTTGGAGCATGGAAGGCAGCAGCCAGGGCAAGGGTGCTGGTCCATGACTAGGGCGCCTAGGCACTACTGCAATATAAATAGTAACACTACACAGCATGACAGTGGGGCTAAAGAGAATACTGGGCCAAGGAGATGAGGGCAAACTGCTATTCTTGCCAAAATACAAACCAACCCTCCCCTCTCAAGATGCCATGGCAACTTTACTGTCCACACAGAGTACATAAGAGAATCTGGTTCTATATTGTAATTCATATGTCTCTGGGGGCAGAGCTCAGCTGGTCGTGTAACCTTAACTCTGGCATTTCCTGACCCGAGTGCTTAACTGCAACCTTCACATTTTGTACCCTAGTTTTTGCTGGAATAGAATGTATCGCCCCAAACACAGTGTGTACCAGCAGTTGGAAATGTACCTAAAAGGGACTCTATGATACAAGGACTCAAACCTGCCATATCTAGGTCATTGTTTTGCATCAAACACAGGCCAGTATTGACTGAAAATCCTTACTATCAGACTCGTGTTCAGAAGCCTACATGAATTTCATAGCTTTCACATGGATATGTTTACCCATTGCAAAATCCATCATCTTAATTGGCACCTGCTTACAATTTCAGTAGAAAAGTCAGGGGCTGAGTATGCTGCGACCTTGCCAGTACCTATTCTTTGAAGAAAGAAAAATAATAGAAGGCAGGGAAGTAACAGCAATTGGTCGTCAGAGTACTAGGCTCATGTCAAGGAATCAGTCAGGTTTCCCACCTGCTGAGGTACCATGACCAGATTTAGAACTTCTTAAGGTTGCTGCAAGGGGGTGCAAATTCCCCATTCCTGTACCTGTGGCGATGAATTATGCCCATCCACTGTAGGCATTAGACCCTGTGGGTTTGGCAGAACTTGATATTTATTGTTTTTATAATTTTGATAAATAATAATCATGTTTGTTTTTAAGCATTTTAAAATTTGTACCTATTTAACTGTTCAATTGCACCCAATTATGGGTTTTACGTATTTATTTTAAATGATTTAAATTTTCATAGTTTGGGGAAATTATGGGGGTGTTCCAGACAATGTGGGAGTGTATTATTTAATTACATGGATGCTGCAATTCAAAAAACTGAAGCTTTATAACTGTTAAAACACAAATTGTCAACATTCCATGTCAAAATATACACAGTAAATATCCTTAAATTAAACTCTAAGTTCTCAAGCAGCATTTTTCTTATCTGTAAACTTCATTTATTATCAATGGAATTATTTTGTCAATTTGTGCGTGTACGGTGATATTGACATTTACTGAGATTTACTGAAAAAAACTGAATCCTTCCAAGCCTACCTATATTAGACTTACAGTGAAGGCATATGTTTTTAAAAAATCAGGAATAATCATCATTCTGGCTGGCTCATTGAGAAGATTGGTAATGTGGTAGTGAGGGCCTGCTTACGCTATGGACCAGATTTTTAAAGGTATTTAGGTGCCTAAAGATGCTGATAGGTGCCTTATAGGGAATTTTCTTAGGCACCTAATCAGGTTAACTCTTGAATCCAATGGGAATTAGGTACCTAATCTGCTTAGGTACTTTTGAAAATCGCTTAGCATCTATCTGCATTGTTAGGCGCCTAAATACCTTTAAAAATCTGAGAGACAAGATGGGGGAGGTAGTATCTTTTATTGGACCAACTTCTGTTGCTGAAGGAGACAAACTTTCAGGCTTACAACGAGTTCTTCTTCATGGCTGGGAAAGGTATTCAGAGTGTCACAGCTAAAAACAAAGTGGAACAGACTGTTTATCATAAGTAAGGCTATGGTTTTGTCACACATATTTTTAGTAGAAGTCACAGACAGGTCACGAGCAATAAAGAAAAATTCACAGAAGCCCATGATCTATCCGTGACTTTTACTAAAAATTATGCATGACAAAATGGGGAGCTGTAGGGTCCCCACACCACCCAGGGGGTGCCTGCCTCGGAGGTGCAGGGTCCCCACACCACCAGTGGCTCCAAGCTCAGGGCACCCCCGTCACCTGCAGTGGCTCTGGCTTGGAGCTGCCAGGCACCCCCACCAGCCACAGTGCTCCGTGCTCCAGGGCACCCCTGCCACCCGCGGGGCTGGGAGTTGTGGAGCACCCACGCTGCCTGGGAGCTGCAGGGCACCCACGCTGCCCTCAGTGGCAGGGAGCTCCTGGGGGCCCCACTGCCTGTGGCAGCTGGGAGTTGTGGGGCACCCCTACCACCCTCTGCAGCTGGGAGCTCAGGCCCCGCAGTTCCCAGCCATCAGGATGGCAGGGACCCTACAGCTCCCACGTGCCGAGGTCTTAAATCACGGAGGTCTCTGGAAGTCACGGATTCTGTGACTTCCCTGACCTCTATGACAAAGTAGTGGCCATCATCATAAGGAATTAACATGATGTAAGAGACCATTCAAGGTGACGTGGGCAGTTAACATCTCTGCAATTGTTGGACAAAGGAGGGTTAGTGAGTTATAGATTGTTGTAGTGAGCCATAAATCCAGTGTCTTTATTGAGTCTAGGATTGTATTGTCTCATGAAGTTATGAGTTTCAGCTCCCAGGCTTGTGTTTTTTTGTTTTTGTTTTTGTTTTTTGTTTTTGAAGGTGTTGTGCAGGTTTCCTTTGAGGATGAGGACTGAGAGGTTAGATAGTGAGTGACTGTTTTGTGAACTGTTTGCCCACAGGGGATAGGATGTTAGCCTTTTATCATTTTCCTGTGTGAGTTCATTTGAGAGTGTAGTGATTGCCTGGCTTCGCCCCATAGTTGTTATGGGGGCATTTAGTGCACTGGATGAGGTACCCCACCACATGTTGTGATATGCATATGTAGGACCCATGGATTTTGAAAGGTGTATTATGGGGGTGTTGATCACTGTAGCAGTGGAGATATGTCTGCAGGCTTTGCATCTGTTATGGCAGAGTTTGGTGCTGCTTTGAGTTGATGAGTCCTGGTCTATGGCGAGCTTGCTTCTAATGATGAGCTTGTAGGGGAGGGGGTTGTTTGAAATCCAGAAGATGGGGTTTGGAAAAGAGTAGGGGTTGTAATTGTTTAATGATACCCTATATGGGTTCTAGTGTGGGGCAGTAGGTGATAACTAGGGGTGTGTGGTTGGAGGCTTTTTATTCCCTACTGAAGCAGGTTCTCTTGGGGTATTTGGGTGGCCCGTTCCTGATATAATCCACTTTTCAGATGGAGGTCCTTGTTTGGTGAAGGCAGTTTTAAGTGTGTTAAGGTGTGTGTATCCCAGACTTTTTCCTTGGAGAATATTCTGTGGTATCTAAGTGCATCCAACACAATCTATTATAAAGAACTCAAAGAAGACCCCACAGCACAATTAACCCAAGAATATAAGGATATAATCAAATCCTTCCCCAAATAACTCCAAGAGAAACTCTACCACCTCATCCCTTATGATCCCACCCCAGGAACTTCAATGTGCTCCCCAAGATACATAAACAAGAGAACCCAGGCAAACCCATCCTATCTGGCTACTGCACTCTTACTGAAGGAACATCAGTACTCACAGAAACCATCCTCACACCACTCACCA